CCCTCCCCTCGGGACTGGCCTACTAATCCCCCATGATCAGCTGCACCAGGAGGTCAAAGTGGGGATCCTAATACAACTTAGTCCCCACCCACCCTGATTTTTTCCTTAATGATGCCCCTCAAAGTAAATGCTTGCCATGAACACTTTTGTTTAGTTTAAAAATCAATTTTCCATTGAGACAAAAAAAAAGGTATGAACCAAAAAATGTCTATCTTTATCTCATATCTTCGTCTGGTTGCACCTTTAATTTATAAGAAGCTTTTCAAAGATTCATAGATCATCTAATCTGACCTCCTGAATAATACAGGACATAGAACTCCCCCCATGCTCCCAATAATTCCTATAGCAGAGCTTTTAAAAAACATCCAATATTGTTTTTAAAATTTTAAAATTTAAATTTTAAATTTTAAATTTTAAAATTGTCAGTGATGGAGAATCCATCCAAGTTACTCCCATGGTTAGTTACTCCCACTCTTAACAATGTACAGCTTGAAGGCAAGGGTTGTCTCTTTCTGTGTTTGTACAGCACCTGGCACAAAGAGTGGAAGCTAGTGCTGGGTGGGGGTCGCTGGGAGGGGAAATGCGGATGTGTGGGGGGATCTAGGTGTAGGGTGGGGGTGTCTGGGAGAAACTGGAGGAGTTTGGAATAGTTGGGTGATGGGTAGCTGTGTCTCAGTGAAGCTGAAATTTGGGGGATAACTGGGGCCTGGGTATGGGGGTCCAGGGGAAGCTGAGGGCATTCTGGGGGTGAGAAAAGGTATTTCCCTTTAGCAATTTCAGTTTCTTCCCTTTTAATTCCATTGACTGCCCCTTTGTTCTTGTGTTGGGAGACAGAGAGAAGAGACACTCCCATCAACGCAAGACACGATAAAATTAGGCACATTTTTTTAACAGTGAGAGTAATTAACTATTGGAGCAAACTACCAAGGGAAATGATGGATTCTCCATCTCTTGGTGTGTTCAAATCTAGACTGAATGTGTTTCTGGCACAAACACAAGCTACTGGGCTCAACACAAGGATAACTAAGTGAAGCTGTCTGGATGGGTGTTATACAAGGCGAGATGATATCAAGATTCTTTCTATCCTTAAAATCTAGGAATCCGTGCCCTTGTTATTTGGGGACTAGGGCTGAAATTTCCAAAGGAGCCTGTGGGAAACTAGGACCTCTCTTCATATCCTTCCTCTGCCACAGATTTCCTGGATGACTTTTGGCAAGTCACTGTTCCTAGGATTTTCTAAGGGGCCCAAGAGGGCTAGGCTTCCTGGCAACTGGGGCCTGATCCGAAGATCATTGAAGTAGGGCTGGTTGAAAATTTTCCTACTTTACTGGGGTTTTTTAATAGAAAATTGGTTTTTGTCTGAATAAAAATTTGTTCATGAAAAATGTCTGGTTTCCAAGGAAAATTCCGATTTAACATCAAAAAGCTGAACACTTGGAAACAAAATAAATAAACAAAAAAAATTCCAATTTTGGCCCAAAACTGAAATCTTTTGATGCTGAAAGACAACTGCAGTGCCTCATGGGAGTTGTAGTTCTGTAGCCTGATGCTCCCATACCCCTCTATGTGCTAGGCTCCTGGGCTGGATGCCATTTCCCCTGATGAACCACCATCATGCAACTGCCATTATGCACCTCCCTCCACCAGGAGGGGACACTGTGATGCAACTCAAAATTTTCTGTGGAAATATATTTCCCCCCCAACAAGCTCAACAGTGAAGTCAATGGAAAGAGTTTAAAACCTGTCCCTATCTCCCTTCCTCCCCTCCCACTGCCGGGTATTAACACGATAAACTTTTTCCCTTCTATCACCCTCTGCTAGTCCCTACTGGATTTTTTTTTTTTTTTTTTAGAAAAAGGCATTGAAATTCAGTGGTATTTTGGCACCTTGTGTCTCTTAAAATCCTAGACCAGACTATTGCAATGCTCTCCACATAGGGACACATCTTAAAGCCTGTTGGAAGCTGGAACTGATGCAGAAGGTGGCTGCCAAGCCAAAAATCGGTGTACCCTGTTGCATTGCACAGCACCTGGTTGCATTGCAAGGTCTGCTTTTGACCTCTTCAGCACTATGGTGGGTACTATGAGGTACGCTACTAGAGAAAGAGACAGGAATTACTTCTGTCCTCAAAGAGCAGCAGTTTTATCGACATGTAAACTGCAGTTGCAGAACACCTCAGTATGTTCTGAGCAGAGGCAGAGGCAAGCAGGAGGAATAAATATGTGATTTGAGATCTAGCTCCTCCTAGGAGCTCTGCCAATTATTGTCTTAATAATAGATTATAAATTCCAAGGCCAAAAGGGACAGTTGTTATAATCTCCTCTGATCTTCTGTATAGCACAAGACATAAACATTTCCCAAAATAATTCCTAGAGAATTTGCAACTTTAAGGAGTCAACATCATCAAATAATAACAGCCTTTCTGCTTTCTGCCATTTCTGCTGGTTATTATTTAACAATATAAAATGACTCCCCCTTCTGTCCCAAGTCCCCCAACCAAAACCCCACCCCCAAAAAGCAATGAATCAGATCTAAAAAGTCAAAAACAATATCCTTACCCCAACACAGAAGGGTTTTTCTACCTCTAAGGGGGAGAAGAGCCAGAGACTCCATTAAATCTATAAGGGATTTTGCTATTCCTGTTGGTTTTATGTTGCAACTGCTCAGATACTACAGAGATGTAATATAAATCCCCGGGATATCTACTGAAATCTTTTAAAGTTAATAGACAAAGTGTCTCAGTCTGTGTGATCCAGCAGCCAGGGTGCTGTATTTCGACTCAGAAAGCCTCGGTGCTATTCCCAGCTATGCCAATGCCTGTTTCATGACCCTTTGGCCTGGTCCACACTACCCCCCTACTTCGGACTAAGGTACGCAAATTCAGCTACGTTAATAACGTAGCTGAATTCGAAGTACCTTAGTCCGAACTTACCGCGGGTCCAGACGCGGCAGGAAGGCTCCCCCGTCGATGCCGCGTACTCCTCTCGCCGAGCTGGAGTACCGGCGTCGACGGCGAGCACTTCCAGGATCGATCCGGGATCAATTTATCGTGTCTAAACCAGACGCGATAAATCGATCCCAGAACATCGATTGCCTGCCGCCGGACCCTCCGGTAAGTGTAGACGTACCCTTTGATAGTCACTTCCCTTCTCTGTACCTCAGTTTCCTCATCTGTAAAATGGGGATAATGACCCTTGCCATGCTGTGTAATGCGCTTTGAGATCTATGGCTGGAAAATGGCCTGGAGAGCCAGATATCGTTATTAAAGGCATGGAAACTTACTGCCCATTCTCTTGGGCTTTTGGCACACACACAGCACATGCGAGGAAAGGGAGATTTTCTTTGTGATTCGAATGCCTGTGGCATCAGCTTTGGTGTGACATTGTTTTAACAAAAATTACAGCATTAATTCCCTTGTGAAGATAATTCTCAGTGCTCACTGGCAGCAGAGCCCACCGGAGATCCAAGCAGCAGAATGGGTTAGGGGGAGGCTGCTTTCCCTGATAAACCCTGCAAGAATCCAGAACAGGAGGCACATAAGGGTTTGTGTGATGCAAAACAATCATGATGAGCTGCAGGAGAGACCCATCCCAACAGCAACTTGTAGGTGTCTCTGGAGGAACTGAGAGGACAAGACTGACTGTGAGGCCAGACCCGGTCACTGCCGATGGAGAGGTCGCTGCTTCGAGATGAGGATTAAAGGTCAGTGTTAACAGTCTCAGGGTAAACCCTCAATCTCTGCCTCAGATTGAGCCCCTAATCTGAAAGACACTCCTCTTTAGCAGTGTCCTCCCTTATTTGACCAAATAAGGACTCTATTACCTCATCATGATATTCTGCCAGGGAAACTGGTGAAACATAAAGGAGATCTAACTATCCACACAGACACCAACGTATCTATCTCTTGGACAAGCCCCTTACACTACCATCTATTTCTTTATTCCTCTGTTGAACCCCTTATACATCACTCTACTTAGTTATTTCCTACAGAACTATATATCTCTATATTGAGCATCTTAAACAATCCCACTTTATATTCCTCTTGGTTTCTATTCTCTGCTCTCCCACAGCCTTCCTGTATAGCCTTGAGCTAGTCACCCTGGGCCAGATTTTTAACGGTATTTAGGTGCCTAGTGAGATTTTCAAAAGCACCCAGCTGCCTGAAAACCATCTAAATCAATGAATTTTAATTGCCCAGATGATTCTGAAAATCCCACTAGGAGCCTAAATATCTTTAAAAAACTGGCTCTGGATGCTTTTCTGGAAAATCTGTTTTAGCCCAACACAGTTAATTGAGCTCAGTGCAGGGATAACTGGGGAACTTCTTTGGTGTGTGTTGCAGAATAGGTCAGATAAGATAATCATAGAAGCATAGAATCAGAGGACTGGAAGGGCCCTCAACAGGTCATCTAGCCTAGTGTCCTTCACTTGTCGCAGGACTAAGTATTATCTAGACCATCCCTGACAGGTGTTTGTCTATCCTGCTCTTAAAGATCTCCAATGATGGAGATTCCAAAACTTCTCTAGGCAATTTATTCCAGTGCTTAACCACCCTGATAGTTAGGAAGTTTTTTCCAAATATCCAACCTAAACTGCCATTGCTGCAATTTAAGCCCATTGCTTCTTGTTCTGTCCTCAGAGTTTAAGGGGAACAATTTCCCCGCCTCCTCCTTGCAACAATCTTTTGGTCCCTTTTGCCCTTTAAATAGATGAATCTCCAATTGAAAAAAAATGGGAACAGGTGTGGATACATCATAAATTAACTGTGTTGTTGGTTTTTGGGTGAGGTTGTAGGGAATCTCTTTCCCAATACACTATGCAATGCCTGCGTGTGAAGCATTTCCTCGCTGGAGAAAGGATATAAACTCTAATCAAAGTTTGCAAACTCAATTTGTAGGGAATCAAATGGATGGCAATCCACTGTGTTTAACTATATGATTATTCCTTTTTTCTCAATCACCAGCTACATCACATAGGGAACTGTGAAGGTGGAAACCTACATGAACCTCATGGAGGAAGGAGAAGGTGAAAATCAAACATTTATCACAGAATTCATCCTGCTGGGATTTGGGAATCTCCCTGAATTGCAATTTATTTTCTTCCTCCTTTTTCTGGGGATCTACATTGTCACCATGACTGCGAACACGCTCATTGTAGCGCTAGTTGTGGCTGATCAGCACCTTCACACCCCTATGTATTTCTTCCTGGGGAATTTGTCCTGCTTGGAGATCTGTTGCACCTCAGCCATTCTGCCCAGGATGCTGGCCAGCCTCCTGACTGGGGACAGAACCATTTCTGTAACCGGCTGCATTGTGCAGTTTTACTGGTTTGGTTTCCTAGTGACTGCTGAGTGCTCTCTGCTAGCTGTGATGTCATACGATCGATACTTAGCAATATGTAACCCCCTGCACTATGCAATCCGTATGAATGGCAGGTTCTGTATGCAGCTAGTAGCCGGATCTTGGCTAAGTTCATTCATAATTCTTACCACGTTAATATCTTTTATGTCACAATTAGCCTTCTGTGGCCCTAATGAAATTGATCATTTTTTTTGTGATCTCACCCCAGTGATTAAACTCTCCTGCAGTAACACCAGTCTGGTTACCCTGGTGACTCTAATATTCTCCTCCATAGACACTGTTCCCCCATTTCTGTTGACCCTGATATCTTATGTTTGTATCATCTCCACCATCCTGAGGATCCCTTCCACCACCGGGAAGCAAAAGGCATTTTCCACCTGCTCCTCACACCTTACTGTGGTTACACTTTTCTATGGGACACTAATAACTGTCTACATGTTACCAAACACCGGTGCCCTGAAAGCCCCAAACAAAGTGTTTTCTGTCTTTTACACGGTCTTGACACCCCTGATTAATCCCCTCATCTACAGCCTGAGAAACAAAGAGGTCAAGGAGGCCCTGAAGAGAGTGCTTCAGAAATGTAGGGTGTTCCCAGGCATTCAGAGAAATTGATAGAAATGGTAATAAATTAATGCACTAGTCAGAAAGGATCCATCTACATAGGCGAAGTTCTTATCAGTTAAAGCATCCTGCATTACAGGAAGAGGATACTGAGGATATTTTTAGAGTTGTATCTCCCATTCAGTTGTATTTATTTAGTTAAGTGCATGGTGGGAAATGAAAACATTCTTTACTGTTGTTCCCAGAATTATTTCAGTCTCTCTTACCTTGGCTGGAAAGGGTTCTTCTATTCTATGAGAAACAGGAAGAGTGGGGAAAGTATATGACCCTAGTCTGAATAGGAGAAATGTTCAAAGATGGGGTAGAGAAATTAGGCCTCCAACCCTCATTCAAAATCAGTGGGATTTGGTTCCTACATTTCCTAAGTCATGGATGATTTTTATTCCACCTATGGAAAATTTCACAACTTTTTTTTTTAAATCAGGATATTTTCACAAAAACTAAAAATCTCAGCCTGAAAAATATTGGTTTTAAATGGGTTCTGGTTCTGACTATACATCCACAATGTGTAATCGCTTCAGAAATGCACTTTTCTTGCAGAAAATCAAACCAGCTAACCCAGGGGTTCTCAGACTTTTATACTGGTGACCCCTTTCACACAGCAAGCCTCTGAGTGCGACCCCCCCGATACATTAAAAACACTTTGTAATATATATATTTAACACCATTATAAATGCTGGAGGCAAAGCAGGGTTTGGGGTGGAGGCTGACAGCTCATGACCCTCCCATGTAATAACCACATGACCCCCCCTGAGGGGTCCCGAACCCCAGTTTGAGAACCCCTGAGCTAACCAGTGACCAACCTGCCCTGTCAAAAGATGGTTATGTATTAAATTTAAATATTTGGGATTTTTAAATATTTTTTCTTTTATTTCTCATTTTTTTATTTCTAAATAATATTCCCAAGTCTTTTTGCATTGCCAGAATCCTATTCCATTTGTGATATCCTGTGGTCTGTGTTTCTTGGACTCTCCATTCATCTTTGGAAAATACCCCAAATTGCTCTGATACCCTGGGTTTACAAGCCAGCGCTCTAATGCTTGAGCTACGGAGACATTGTGTGACACCACGTATCTTATACAATGCTCCGGCGGGTAAGGCATGGCACTTGAAATCAGAGCACCTGCCTTCTGTTATTTTTCTTGCCTCAGATGGGGTCTTGGAAAAGCCATTGGCCTCTTTTTTCCCAACTCCCCTTTTGTCTGTTTCAATTGTAAATTTTATGGGGCAGGAACATTCTCTCCCTATATGGGTTTATGGATCACCCAGCGCAATGGGGACCCCACCTCTATTTCAGTCCTTAAGGAATCACCATAGTCAAATAGTAATAGTCCTTGTGCTTTTGGTGAGTTCTGCTGTTGTTGACCTGGATATTATTTAACAATGTAAAATGACTCCCCTTTCTATCTCAAAACTCCCACCCCACCCTGAAAAAATGAAATGAATCAAATCTAAAAAATAAAAAACAAAAACCCTACCCTAAAGAGGATTTTTTTCTTTACCTCCAAAGGGAGAAGAACCAGAGACTTCATTAAATCTACAAGGGACGTTGCTATTCCCCTGTTGATTTTATGTTGAAGTTTTCCAAATACAATGGTGATGGGCAGTAATCAGATAGATACTGAAATCAGAGAATCGCAGGACTGTAAAGGACCTTGAGAGGTCATCTAGTGCAGTCCCCTGCATTCATGGCAGGATTAGGTATTACCTAGATGTAGTGAGCCTGACTGGCCTCCCTCCGAGCAGGAGAGCGAGGGACCATTACACGCCCCTTGGAGGGTAGCACCTAGATCGCACCACCCCCCTCGCCGGAAGGACCGGGGTGAGGCTGGAAGTATAAAAGTCCAGCCCTGCAGCTCAGCTGGGGGAGAGCCTGTGCCGGAGGAGGACGCTTGGCCTGTTCTCCAGAGGCCCCGAGAGGAACCTGCACCTGGCTGTTCCCGATCCCCAGACATGGATGATGACTGGCCTGGAGTACCTGCTGCAATTTACCCGGAAGAGCCGAAAGAGGCCTGGAGGCCGCAGGTACCAAACCCCAGGGAGGCAGGAAGTAGCCCAGGGGCAGCCACGGAGCAGCCGGCTGCAGAGCCCGGCATGGCTCAGCCTGCGTCTTGTGTCTGGATCCCTGCTGATGCAGGGGCAACCAATTCTGCCCCTGCCAGGGCCCTGAGTTGGGACGCGGTGGAGTAGGGTGGGCCCGCATCCCCCTACCATCCCACCCCGGGTGGCTGACCCCTACACAGTGCAAGGAGGCTCTAGCCCAGGACAGGAGCTCCCTTACCACTCACCTATAAAGACAGTTTGTTTGCTGGCAGCCTGAGCTCCACTCAGGCTAAAGCCAGCCCCTTAGAGACTGTGTGTTTGCTGGCTGCCTGAGCCCTGCCCAGACCAAAGCCAGTCCTGTAAAGACTGTTAGTTTGCTGCCGGCCTGAGCTCCGCCCAGGCCAATGTCGGCCCTGATAAACTGGGTTTCAGGGCTGCCTACTTGAGCGACCTAAGCTTAAGCCTGGTTGGGACTGTTAATCGTGCAGCCCTATTGGGAGGCTCTTGCCGGTCTGACGGACTCTGGCCCTGACCCGACCGGATGAGCCTGACTGGCCTCCCTCCGACCAGGAGAGCGAGGGACCATTACACTAGACCATCCCTGACAGAGTCCAGCGGAGGGCAACAAAAATGATTAGGGGGCTGGAGCACATGAGTTATGAGGAGAGGCTGAGGGTACTGGGATTGTTTAGTCTGCAGAAGAGAAGAATGAGGGGGGATTTGATAGCTGCTTTCAACTACCTGAAAGGGGGTTCCAAAGAGGATGGATCTAGACTGTTCTCAGTGGTACCAGATGACAGAACAAGAAGTAATGGTCTCAAGTTGCAGTGGGGGAGGTCTAGGTTGGATATTAGGAAAAACTTTTTCACTAGGAGGGTGGTGAAGCACTGGAATGGGTTACCTAGGGAGGTGGTGGAATCTCCTTCCTTAGAGGTTTTTAAGGTCAGGCTTGACAAAGCCCTGGCTGGGATGATTTAGTTGGGATTAGGTCCTGCTTTGAGCAGGGGGTTGGACTAGATGACCTCCTGAGCTCCCTTCCAACCCTGATATTCTATGATTCTATGATTCTATGATATTTGTCTAACCCTTCAAATCTTTGAAAGGTAATAGACAAAGTCTCTCAGTCTGTGTGGTCCAGCAGCCAGGGTAATACACTCTGACTGAGGACGCCTGGGGGCTATTCCCAGATATGTGAATGCCTGCTTCATGACCATTTGGGACTCATTTTCCTTCTCTCTGCCTCAGTTTCCTCATCAGTCAAACAGGGATAATGCTATCAGTCCTCCTGTGTAATGTGCTTTGAGATCAACACATGGCGAATGATCTGGTAGAGCTAGATATGATTATTAAAAGCATGGAAATGTATTTCCCATTCTCTTGGGCTCTTGGCACACATACAGTATATGTGGGGAAAGGGAGGTTTCCTTTGGGATTTGAATGCCAGTGGCATCAGTTTTGGTGTGACACTGTTTTAACAAACACCACCATGTTAATTCCCTTGGGAAGGTAACTCTCAGTGCTCACCAGCAGCAGAGCTCACGGGAGATCCCAGCAGCTGGAAGGGCCAGGGGACGGCTGCTTTCCCTGATAAACCCTGCAAGGATCCAGAGCAGGAGTCAGATAACGGTTTGTGTGATGCAAACAATCATGACGAGCAGCAAAAGAGAGAGACCAACCCCAACAGCAACATATAGGTTTCTACATAGGTACTGAGAGGACAAGACTGTGAGTCCAGACCTGGTCACCGTCGAAGGGGAAGTTGCTGCTTCATGATGAGGATTAAAGATCAGGGTTAAAAGTCTCAGGGCACAATCTCATTCTCTTCCTCAGACACAGCCCTTAATGCGAAAGACACTCCTCTTGGACAGTGTCCTCACTCCCTGGAAGCTTTGCCTGAATAAGGACTTTAGAATCTGAACGTGATGTATCGCCAGGGAAACTGATGAAACATAAAGGAGATCTATCTATCTACACACATCTACTTTTCTATCTCTTTATCAAGCCCCTTAAACAACCATCAATATAGATAACATTTTCCTAAACATTCACATTTTATTTAAAACTTTTGTATAAACCAGTTAGGACCAAAACATGGCCTAGGGTTATGCCCTAAATTATCTCTAGCTTGCCTCTGAATTGTCTCACTTCACTTTTCTCATATTTTATCAAGCCTCACTTGACAATTGTCAAGCATATTTTTAGGAAAGGGATGTTTTGGGCCTACTTATATTTCAACACATTTCTCTGGAACATAAGTAATTGTCATTTTTATAGGCTACAGTGTACATTAGAAATGCATTGGATAGAGACTGGAAATCCTTACCAATTTGGAAATAGTGGCACTTGTGAGACAAATTTTGCCTAGCTATTTATTGCTCCATCTTAGTTTTGAAGAGGAAGGATACTCCGATGTTTACAACACTAGCCTGTCATTAAGGAGACTTGGTTTCTATTCTGTGCTCTAGCACAGCCTTTCTTTATAGCCTTGTGCAAATCATTCTGGGCCAGATTGTCAAAAGTATATAGTTGCCTAGATGAATTTTAAAACCATTTAGGTGCTTGACACTTATTTAAATCAATGAGTTTAATTACCTTGAAAATTTAACCAGGTGCCTAAATACATTTAAAAATCTGGCCATTAGACCTTTTCTTGAAATTACATTTTAGCCAAACACAATTTATTGAGCTCAGTGCTGTGGTAACTGAGGAAATTCTATGGCGTGTGTTGTAGAGGAGGTCAGACCACATGATCAAATAGTCCCTTCTGGCCATTAAATCTATGAATCTATAACTGAATAAATGTGGGGACAGGGGTAGAAGAAAGATATATTTACCGTGTTGCTGCTCTTGGGTAGGCTGGTAGGGAACCTCTATTCCAATACCCTCTGCAACACCTGGGAGTGAAGCAGTTCCTTAGCTGAGACAAGAGCTTGCAATCTCAATTTTTA